AATTCCACAGAACAATTAACAGGGCCAAGACATTTAACAATCCTAGCGGGACCTTTCCACTTCACAGCCAGTTTAGCCATGAAACCATAGCTAGCACATGACAAAGGATGAGTGCGAACCCAAACTAAATCCCCAATTTGATAATGAGCAGACCTTCTCCGGAGGTCATAGTATCGTCTTTGTTTTGCTTGAGCTCGTTCCACGTTTATTTGCACAGTTCTTATCAGCTCCTTTTGTCTTTCTAACACTGGGTACACCGGACTGTCTGGATCAGGAGGTCTATGAATGACTCTTTCTAGAGGTCCCTTCAGTTTCCTACCCAGTGTGACTTCAGCTGGAGTGAATCCTGTGCTTTCCTGCCAAGCCGTGTTTATGGCAAAAAATAAGTGACTTCCCCAACCAATAAACCTCACAAGTTTTACACAAAAGTAAAAAATGAAGAATCAAGCAACAAACTCACGGTTGAGCAGCAAAACCAATGTTTCTCAAACCAGGACCCTCTAGAGAACAGCAGATGCCATGAGGCAACTCAAATTGAATCTAACACTCATTCTATTACTTCCTCTTTTATTCACAAATGGGTATATGCTATTGGTGTCCCCTAGTGGTCAGGATGAACAAAGCACTAAAAATGAAATACATCAAATCATGTAACAAGCTGTGACTGTTACATATATCCCCCCTCATTTGGTAACATTATCAACAGTACCATAGAATGGCTTCAAATTTTGTACATGAAATGTATCAACACGATCAGGATCATCTATAAATGCCACAGAACAATTAACAGGGCCAAGACATTTGACAATCCTAGCGGGACCTTTCCACTTCACAGCCAGTTTAGCCATGAAACCATCGCTAGCATGTGACAAAGGATGAGTGCGAACCCAAACTAAATCCCCAATTTGATAATGAGCATACCTTCTCCGGAGGTCATAGTATCGTCTTTGTTTTGCTTGAGCTCGTTCCACGTTCCTTTGCACAGTTCTTATCTGCTCCTTTTGTCTTTCTAACACTGGGTACACCGGACTGTCTGGATCAGGAGGTCTATGAATGGCTCTTTCTAGAGGTCCCTTCAGTTTCCTACCCAGTGTGACTTCAGCTGGAGTGAATCCTGTGCTTTCCTGCCAAGCCGTGTTTATGGCAAAACGAAACTCTGCCAACCATCTGTCCCAGTGCCGATGGTGGTCTTGAACGTAGGACGAGATCATGGTCTTAAGAGTACGGTTGACCCTTTCAGTGAGGTTAGTCTGGGGATGTGCTGCAGTAGTCAACTTCTGAATGACACTCCATTGCTTGCACACTAGACTAAGGAGTTGGGAAGTAAATTTGGTTCCTCGATCAGACACCAAATACATCGGAGTTCCCCACCTAGTAAAGATCTCCTCTATCAAGATGCGAGCGATTTGAGGTGCTTTAGCTACACGCAGAGGGAACAGCTCCACCCATTTTGAACAGTAGTCAACGACAACAAGGAGGTGCTCATTTAACTTTGATCCAGGGTCCTGGGCCTCGTTCACAGACAACTTGGCACCCAGTATGTTTATTGGGTGAGGGGTCTGTGAATGTTTGTTAATCTAATGAATAATTGGATTTGTTAAATCAAATGAAAAATGGTGTGTCTGATTGGTCCAGACGCTACACACTTCTGGAGGTTGAGAGTAAGCCCTGCTTTGAAAAGACAATGAAATACTGCTTGCAAGTGGGTTAAATGTTCTTCTTCTGTCTTCGAGTACACCACAATGTCATCGATGTACACAAAACAACTCTTTCCCTTTAAATCTTTCAGCACTATCTCCATCAATTGATGAAACGAAGCAGCAGCATTTTTGAGCCCGAAAGGTAAACTAAGAAATAACGGTCCCATAAGGTCGATCCCTAACATATGCCCAGGTTCTACCACTGGGGTTGACTGCATATGGCCGGCTAACTTGGAAATTGAGGGTTTGTGTTGTTGACAGACCTGACATTCTTTGCAATACTTCCAGATGTCAGAGCGCAGGGTGGACCAATAACAGATATCTACTAACCTCAGTAGAGTCTTAAGCCTACCAAGGTGCCCACTTAATGGGTTATCATGGGCATATGCGAGAAAGTCTTTCCGTAGACAAGCAGGTATGACTAGCTGTAATTTGGGTGCTACGGAAAATAAATCCATTCTTTAACAAGTAATGTATACGTGTTGGATCAGGATCTGTGAGTGACCTGGCTTTAATGGCAAGTTCTTGAACTTCTGAGTCGTCCTGTTGTGCTCTAGCAATGTCAGACCAATCTATCGGAAAACTGGAAAAGGAAGTAGCTGAGTCCTGTGATTTGATATGGGCTATCAGAGGGAACAAAACCGCATCTGAAAAACTACGCGAGAGTGTGTCTGGCACAATGTTGCACTGACCTTTTCGATACTTGACACTGAAATCATATTCTTGCAGTCGAATGGCCCATCGGGTCAGTCTGGAAGAGGGCTTTGGGTGATTAAATACCCACGTGAGAGCCACATGATCAGTAATCACTTCAAATGGTCTGCCTTCTAAATAGGGTCTCCATTTCTCTACAGCCCATATGACGGCACAGCACTCCTTTTCTGAAACTGAATATGACTTTTCAGCTCCTTGTAACAGACGTGAAGCATAAGCTACGACATGTTCTACCCCTTCCATTTCTTGTGTCAGAATGGCTCCTAAACCCACATCGCTAGCATCAGTCTGAACTTTGAATGGCTTTGTCAAATCAGGGGCAATCAAGATAGGTGCATTGGTTAGATCGTGTTTGATCAATTCAAATGATCTTTGGCATTCTTCAGTCCAAGTCCATGTTGCTCCTTTTCTTTTTAAAGAATGCAATGGTGCAGCTTTCTCAGAAAATTTTGGAATACACCTTTGGTACCATCCTGCAAGCCCTAGGAACCGTTGTACCTCCTTCAAACATTGGGGAATAGGAAATTGAGTAACAGCTTCTACCTTTGCAGGGTCAGTTTGGATTCCGTCCTTGGATACCATGTGTCCCAAAAACGTCAAAGACTTTTGCATAAGATATGAAAAATGGTGTGTCTGATTGGTCCAGACGCTACACACTTCTGGAGGTTGAGAGTAAGCCCTGCTTTGAAAAGACAATGAAATACTGCTTGCAAGTGGGTTAAATGTTCTTCTTCTGTCTTCGAGTACACCACAATGTCATCGATGTACACAAAACAACTCTTTCCCTTTAAATCTTTCAGCACTATCTCCATCAATTGTTAAAACGAAGCAGCAGCATTTTTGAGCCCGAAAGGTAAACTAAGAAATTTGAACAAACCTGATGACATAACGAAAGCAGTCTTGGCGATGCTTTCAGGTTCCATTTCAACCTGCCAATACCCGCTTTTTAGATCTAGGGTACTGAAAATTGCAGCTCCATGAAGAGACTCAAGCATATCCTGTATTTGCGGCATAGGATATGCATCTAGGAAGGTCTTTGAATTCAGTCCTCTAAAGTCAACATAGAATCTTTGTCCTCCTCCTTTTTTGGGTACAAGGACAATTGGAGCAGCCCAGGAAGATGTTGAGGGTCGAATTATTTTCTTATCAAGCATCACCTTTATCTCCTGATCGATGAAAAGTTGTTTCTCAGGAGACACTCGATAGGCTTTCCGGCGAATGGGTACTTCATTAGTGGTTATGATGTGATGTTTGACTATATTGGTGTGGCCTATTTCATTGGTGCACACTGTGGGCCAATCTTTCATGAGCTGATCAATTCGTGTCTTTAGTTACAGAGATATGTCTGCATTGGTAACTAGCTGATAGATAAGTGAGAGGGTCTCAGATGACTCTTCCGGTATGGGTAAAGCTAAGTAAAAGGACAATAAAGCATTGGTAGAATGAACAGGGATGAATGGAAATGTTTCCTCTTGGCATCCATTTGTGGCTGACAGTGTATACTGAGCCTTATGAAAATCCAAGCAAATTCCAGATGACACAAGGAAATCCATTCCTAGGATTATAGGCACAGAGAGATCAACATCCCTCATTATATATATGGTCAGTGCATACTTTCTCTGCTGTAACTCACAGTCACATCTCCACAATCCTAAGGCACTTAAAACTTGTTCATTGGCCTGCTGGAAAGTATGTCCCCGACTAGACTCCAACTGTTCCCTGTGCTTCAGCTGATTCCAACAAGATTCTTGCATTAGAGTCAGTGAACTCCCTGTGTCAATCATAGCCTGGAAATATCTTCCACGGATCACCAACGGTAGGGTCACCATCTTCCAATTGTTCTGAGCAGGGGTAAGAACAGGTTGAATGATATGGGTGGTCGAGGGGTTTGACTTGGTGTGAACGTCTCTGTCAGTTTGGGTTTTCCTTCTCTGTATATCTGCATTGGTTTGACTCCAATATTTCTTGGCTTCTTCCAGATCTCTTTCGATTTGAGTTCCAATCCTTACCAACTCACCGACTTCCTTGACAGTTCCCCTCAAGAGACTGGCGAGGCATGGGTTGCAGTTTCTTAAAATGGACTGGACAATCTCCTTCTCTGTCATCCCCTTCTTCCACCGTAGATATAGGGCTCGGTAATGGTAGGCAAAATCGCGAATAGACTCTTTAGGGCCTTGCTTCCTCTCCAACAGCCATTTAGTAGCTTCTACTTCATAGTCATCATTTAAAAAAGCTTGAAGGAAAGTTTGCTTAAATTGGCTCCAGGTGGAGATACATCTGCGTTCTGCTAGCCACCAATCCTTAGCTGTTCTTTTCAAAACTGAAGTAAGTGAAGCTAAAATCTCAGAATCAGTGAGAGGTCTCAGAGCAAGATAATCTTCACAACGTTCTACAAATGAAATGGGGTCATTTTCTTAATGTGAGCCAAACTGTGGGAATTCAACTCTAACAGGAGGACGATATTGAGGAACATGAACACTGTCTGGATTGGCACGTACAGGTTGCTGAGATTGAGCAGTAAAAGTTCTATACTGTGGTAAAGTAGGGGTTAAAATTGAAGGCACAATGGGAGTAGACATGACGGAAGCATACCATTTTAGCTTGGCATAAATTTGCATATCTCCCCTCTTCAAACAGTCCACTACTGACTTGCCCAAATCCTGAATATTCAGCTCAAGAAGGTTTTTAACCCTCTCACACTCTCGTTCTATTTTATAGTTTAATTTATCCTCCAACAAACGGCACTGATCAACAAAGTCTGCCTTTAAGCAGCATAAACTCTGAAGGTCTGCTTCCAATGTTGCAATACGTCGGGTTATCTCATCCCCTGACTGAGGCGAGAATTGCGGGTCAGGTACATCAGGAGGTGGTGGAGGAAATGGATCGTCAGGTGGGGGCTCGGAATCATTATCTTCTTCAGAGTTGATATACAGCTCACTGAAGGTAGTAATGAGCTCTCGTAGAGGATGTGAATCTCTCCGAGTGACAAAAGGTCCAGCAGTGAAATCTGGATTGGGCCCACACTCATCCCCCACAACACGTGAAGAAACTGACATTTTCACCACATTATCATCAAAACACAAAAAAGTACAAACTACTCTTGAAACACTTACTTTGCGAAAAGGTCCCTGTTCGGGCGCCAATCTATAACCGTTCCAACTATTTAAACTGGTATTGTTATATGAGGATGAGGGGGAATCAGTCTTGCAAGAATCTAAGGGATAGTGTTCAGAAGCTGGTTTAAATACACACAAAAAAACAAATAGCAACAAAAACACTTTTCCCAACATATATTGTGTTTCTACACAAATACAAAACACACACACTACCGTCACATAAACATTCAAAAAACATAAAACATAAAACATTCAAAATAGATATAGGCAATGACCAAATAAAGGCAGGAATACTGTATATGTGTATGAAATGTCCAACAAAGATGCTGAAGAAAGAAACCATTTGGTAAATGAGAGCAGTCAGTTATAAAGTCTTATCTGTTGAAGGGCCAACTAATGAAATTACAAAATGGAGCAGTGGTCCTTGTTGGGGTAAGCCAGAAACCCTTGGAATAAATCCTTAGTCGGTTGCAAAACTGCACCTAAGATCCATAGTTATGCACTCCACATAGTAACACAAAGTGGTAGGATACATAGAGTCCTCTACAAAAGAAAACAACTCATTAACTTTCAAACCAACTCACCAAACAAATACAACCCACTTTTACTGGCAACCGCACTTAACAGTGCATTACTGCCATCATCAGGTAGCTTGGATCAGAAACATTTCCTCTATCTCTTAACATTTTCTAACCCCCCCCCCCTTTAAAAAGAAAGAAAAGAAAAAAAAAGACAAAAAAAGAGAAAAAATATATATATTACACTGGTGCTGCGTGTTCGAATCTACCACTCATTCTATTACTTCCTCATATATATATATATATATATATATTAGTTTTAGTAATTGTACTGCGTCAGCTTATTTTATTTATTTTAGTTTCCAATACAACATTTATATTTTTTGTTTTTCATCTGATATTAATGTTTTATCTGATTTCAACTTTATTTAAATGAATAAAAACAATGTTTCATATTTTTATTTGTAGTCACAATAACAACATTGGTCAGGCTGGGAGACCAGTTTAAAACGGTTAAGACCAGCAAACCAGTTTAGGCTGGTTTAAACGCGTTTTCAGCAGGGAATGTACTCATATTAATTTAGTTTTATTAAATATTATTTTTACTTTAATAAGACCAGTTAATTTAGATATTTACCACATGAAGCACATAGGTTATATTACTTTAGAATTTTTTTTACAGTGTAAATGTCTTTACACTTTATTAAAAATTATTATTTATGAATTACAGAGCCCTAATTAATTGTATTTTTCCTGGCATATCTCAAAATGTACTAGCACAGAACACACATTTTTGTTATTACCGTTTTTTTCCGAAATATGACAATTGCTACGGTCATGACTTGAAATATAAAAAAATATAAATCAAATTAAATGAAGAACAGGAAAAATAGCACAGTATATTATTTCATCCACATTAGCCAGAGGTTTTAATATATTACATTATAACCTGGCAAAGAAATTCTGATTGCTACAAGCTGAACGTTATGCAAATAAAGATGATGAATACTGAAAAGAGAAAGAGGGAGAGAGAGGAAAAGAGGTTCACATGTGTTCCTTTGGTCCATTTAAGACGTGCTGTTGGGCAAACCGCACTGCTCTTTCAAGCCTGCCTCACATTACCATGGCAACACACAAACCCCTGCTGGCCTCTGCCAGACTCACGGTCCATGTAAGAGAGTGCAAGCAAGACATGCTCGCTTGCTCTCTCACCTTCTCCTGCCTTCGCACACACCCAAACATGTATGAACACACACACACACACACACACGTTACAGTAGGTGACAGTGCACACAACAAACCCACTTCCCACATTTTGCCTCACCACGAGTAGTGTACCGTGCAGAACATCTAATTATCATTCAGGAGCGGGAAGCTTTATATGTCACCGACAACACACTTATGGCACAGTGATAAGCTGCATTAATTCCAAGGAAAGCAGAAACCTTGGAGTCATGTGTATCTAAGCATGCAGATCTGGCTAATGGCTCGCTCAATGTGGAGATAGAATCAGGGCTCAAGGGGGGATCATGCAGACAGGCAGCCGATCACAAACCCTTCCCCATGGGGTGTAACGGCATTTTCCACGGATGAGCTGGGATGTCGCTGCTCTGTTCAGGGAGCCGAGAGAAGGACAGACGCAGTGTGACAGTCTACCACCTTCTGCAGTGTACAAACTGTAAACGGTTGTGCCGCCATTAGTTTTGTACCCAATGCACAAAAACAAAGATAAAATCACGCCCGCTGATGGCGTCATTTATTTGTGCATGCCATCTGCTTTGTTTTAGCACATGATTAAGTGAAACTGGGGTCTTTGACCATTTATAGGCCTTTTGTATATTGTAAAAGTGCTGAAAGCTTGGCATATAAAAACATGCGTATAGTATCATATTTATGTGGGTTAAATATTGTGTATCTTTATTTACTGCATATTTTTTTAACAATAACTGGCAGACCCCCTACAGTACCACAGTCGACCCCCTGCTGAAGACCTCTTAACTAAAGGAATCATGCAAATCAGGTAACAATGCAAATACGGGCCAAAAATTATTGCTGAACTCGATTTGCATGGCACGATGTTTTGCAGGTTGGAGTGCACCAGACTACTAATTTGGCAATATATATATTGCACTATTTATCTCAAATGTTGATATAATTTCCCCAAATAATAATTATTTGCTAAAAACAAATGTAAAGAAATATATAACTGTGTAAGTCAGTGACAAGAACATAAGAAGTGCTGACGTACTAAACTGTAACAGGTGGGGTGGGTTGTATCACTATTGGAAAACATGGACATAAGATTAGATTTTGTACATGAATTTCATTTTCTTGTTTAAAATTATTTTTATACCAACCCTCATCAGCTCCTCCCAATTTTGTTCATTTGTTCAATTTTTGTTTGTCCAGTAAAAGTAAATGTTGTGTTAAAACCAACGCACACATTGAAATGTGTTCCTGTTTTGTGATTTGGTGAATTGTTGGCAAATTCGTTTGAATTTGAACAGTCTAATTCATACATTTTTGTACATTGTACTTGCCCTATAGATTTAGGGTTGGAACTTCATGTTTATTTGTATTTATTTTACTCATTTATTGTTTTTCTTTTCTAAAATCATACACTTTTATATAACTACAACTAGAGGCCAAAATGTAAAATAGGTGCATTTTGTCTTGCGATTGTGTTTTTTTTCTGACAATAACTTTTACTGTCTCCCCAATGGTGATCATATATGATGTTCCTTATATATATATATATATATCTTACATTTATTTTAGTCTTAGTTTTTGTCATTTTAGTACTTAAACTTAATTTATTTCAGTACGTTTCCAAGGCAACATGTCTAATTTTAGTTTTTCAAATCTGATATTTGAATCTTATTTTATTTCAGCTTTATTTCAATTAATGAAATCAGTTAAATAGTTGTATTTTTAGTTAACAATAAAAACACTGGTCAGTCTGGGAGACCACTTTAAACAAGACCATCAAACCAGTTAAGGCTAGTTTAAGTATGTTTTTTTTCCATGTTAATTTAATTTATGTTAATTTACACATTTCTATTTTATTTTATTGTATTTATATATATATATATATATATATATATATATATATTATATTAATTCAGT